AATGGTTAATTAATCGATTGATTGATTGAATAATTGGTTGATTGATTAATTGATTGATTGATTAATTGATTGATTGATTGATTGATTGATTTATATATGCGTAAAATTTTGAAAAATAAAACTTATCTATTCATTCATCTCGTCATTCGCAAATTAAGAGCTTTAAAATTAACATACCTTCCAACAAAACATTCAGATTCTTATTATTAAATATATTATATATTATTATAGTATTTTTAATTATTATTATTATTTATTATTTTATATATTATTATATTATTTATTACTATTCATACATCCATAATGTTTGGCGAGTGCTTACAAAAGGAGTGCAACTTTGTAAAAAAAATTTCAACAATTTAGCTTCAACATTTTTTATCATGATAATTATGAGAATGAACAAACTTACAAACAAACAGACAAACGAACGAACGAACTAACAGACAAACGAACGAACGAACAAATGAAGGAAACAAATGGATGAATGAATGAATTTTTCTTAACGATGATGATGGCGCATTGGAATATAGCTGCTGCGTAGGTATGCTACCATCCAGACGTATGCAAACGAGATGTGCTGACCGTCTAATTATATACTATACACTATATCTCTACTCGTGTATATGTATAAATACACACACACACACACACACACACACACATATATATATATATATATATATATATATATATACCAACATACATATTGGATGTCTGTATGTTTATGTATCTGTATACATATAAGGAATGAATGTATGGATGAATGGATGGATGGATGGATAGATAGATAGATGAGTGAGTGAGTGAGTGAATAAATGCACTGATAGAAGAATGAATGAATAGTATATACATATATAAATATATGTATATAGGTGATACTTATGTATTGTATACTTTGTACTTTAAAATCTATACAGAATAGATATACAGTATAGATATAGGTATAGTATACTCACTATATTACTTAAAAATGCATAATATATACAATGTATTAGATGTTGTATTTAAATTCTTTTATTTTGTATGTTTTCCCTTCTTTCTTACATGTTTGTATAAATATTGTATGTGTGTTGTGTTGTAGTAGACAATTTTTACACCAAAGAGTTATGCCTGTGTCCGTATAATAGGAATTTAATTATTTTCATTACTTTCCATTGCATGCGTATGTATGCGTGCGTGAGGAAATGTGTGTGTGTGTGTGTGTGTGTGGAAATGTGTGTGCGTGCGTGTGGGAATGTGTGTGTGTGTGTGCATTTGTGAATGTATATGATTAGCGTGTTCCAACTGTTGCTAATTAAAAGTATTAATTTGTATGTATGTTTGTATGTATGTTTGTCTGTATGTATGTATGTATGTATGTGTGTGTGTGCGTCTGTGTGTCTGTGTGTGTATGCACGTTTTTGTACGTGCGTATACTTTAAAATGTACGTACAAGAACATATGAGCGACGCAGGTACAAGTTAAATAAAACGCATCTCAAGTATTTGTGAATGGTTATAAATGAATAACATACATGGTGTGTGTGTTTGCGTGCGTGCGTGTGCGTGTGTACGTGTGCGTGGGTGTGTGTTTGATCTAGATTAATTTAATTAAGAATCATTACAATGGTTTCATTACCCTTTTATGATTTTACGTGGTGTAGCGAGATTTTGTGTTGATGATTGATGCATACATTTTAAACTGCACCCATGACGTCACATCACATCACAAATAACTAGTATGACGCCACATTACATTACATTACATTGTATAATATAACATCAGTTTACATTATTTTCTCTCCTTTTTTTCCCTCTCTCTCTCTCTATTTTTTTCTCTCTCTCTCTCTCTCTTTCTCTTTTTCTAAATACATACATATAAACGCGTATAACTAATTATAATTTATCATTGACCATCGACGTTCAATTGTCAATTATAAATATTTTACATATTAAAAAATTTTTTAACCTATGCTTAAATGTCATTGCGTTCGTTGTCATCCTTTCTCTCTCTCTCTCTCTCTCTTCCTCTCTCTTTCTCTCTCTTTCTTTCTTTCTTTCTTTTTCTTTTTCTTTCTCTCTATATCTTTCTCTTACTCTTTATATTTTCTCTTTCCCTCTCTCTCTTTCTCTTTCTTTCTTTCTTTCTTTCTTTCTTTTCCTTTCTCTCTATATTTTTCTCTTTTTTTCTTTCTTTATCTTCCTCTTTCTCTCTTTCTCACTCTCTCACTCTTTCTTTCTTTCTTTCTTTCTTTTTTTCTTTTTTTTTCTCTCTCTCTTTTTCTCTTTTTCTCTTTTTCTCTCTTTCTCTCTTTCTCTTTCTTTCTATATATATATATATATAGATATATAGAAAGAAAGATATCACATACATCAGCACTTACTTATGCCATTATACATTCAATAAAAATATACATTTCATATAGGCACATATATAAATATATTGAAGTTAGTGCGTGTGTGTTTGTATGCTATTTGCGTGGGGGTTTGTGTGCATGTGTGTGTGCGTGTGTGTGCGTGCGTGTGGTGGCCTTCGTTACATTGTTAAACGAAAGGCAACATCCTCTATAATGAAATTAGAGGTTCCCATCTCATTGGTGTTGGTGATAGTTTGCTTTGTTTCGTTGTATTTTGTGAAGTATTTTCTGTGGCAGTATTTGTAGTAGTAGAAGTAACAATAGCAGCAGCAGCAGCAGTAGTAGTAGTGGTAGTAGTAGTAGCAACGGTAGTAGTAGTAGTAGTAGTAGTAGTAGTAGTAGTTGTTGTTGTTGTTGTTGTTGTAGGAGTATTATTAGTTTTATCACTACTAGTAGTAGTAACGGTAGCAGTAGTAGTAGTATTAGTAGTAGTTGTTGTTGTTAGTAGTAGTTGTAGTAGTAGTTGTTGTAATAATAGTAGTAATAGCCGCTGTTGTAGCAACAGCAGTAGTAGTAGTAGTAGTACAAATAGTTGCTATGATGGTAATTACATATTTTGTTTCTTTTCGACAGTGTACATATACACATGTGTATTCTTGTGTATGCGTGAATGTGTGTGTATGATAGTGTTTGTGTGTGTGTGCGTGTTTGTGTGATCTAGTTTTATTTTTGCTTACAATCCTTTTTACATTAGTTCAAGATGTGGTTGTTGTTTCGTTTCGTGACTTAACTGAATAAGTCCAGCTAAGTTTTGCTAATGTTTATCGTTCCAAATCTTTTCAGGTGACATGTTTTTACGTCATTGCTTCGAGTTTATTGCCATCCTTGACCTTTCTTTGTGTTTGTATGTTTTGTTTGATAGTCTTTTTACAAATTCTTGTACGTGTATGGAGGTGTGTATATGTGCGTGTGTTTGCGATGTGTATGGATGGGTCGTGTGTTTGTTTGTTTGTTTGTGTGTGTGTGCGTGTCGTGTGTCTGTATATACTTGTATTTACGTATGAATACGTATGAATATGTAGCAGAGTAGCAGAGATATGTTCGTGTATGATGAAAATGTGTATTTGAATGAAAATGGGTTGGTGTGTGTATATTTTTGTCCGTGTGTGTGTTTATGTATGCATGTGCGTGCATATATATGTGTGTGCGTGTGTTTGCTAGAAATAAACACTCCTGCGAGTTAATATTTTCCATTGTGTAGAAAATTGTATCGATTATGTGCGCTGACATTCTGTTTGTATAAAAAGTTTTATGTATGTGTGTATATATTTATGTGTTGGTAATAGACCATAATTTTTACAACATTCTATAAATTCTACCGAATGTGTGGCGTTAATATGTTTGTAGTTCGTTTTTTGCGATTTTTCTCACTAAATTTATAGAATATTGTATGTATGAATAAATGAATGAATGTACGTATGTATGGTTCTTTTATCTTTTTAATATTATTCCCCTCATGAACGGCTTTTGACGTGGCGAGGGGGCTTCTCACTAAATGGTTCTTCTTCATCACTTGTTTGTTTTCTTAAAAATGCGATTCTTTATCTTTTTCACGGTTGCATTTTTTAGCGCAAATACTCTAAAACATAGGTTACATTAGCATTTGTACAATACATACGTACATGCATGTATAACATACACAAACATACAAACAACGGTACAGCACATCACACACACACACACAAACATACAAATACATACGCCATTATCCATTTGTGTGTGTGTTTCTATCTATAAGTGTGATTGTGTGTTTGCGTGTGTGTGTGTATGTTCGTGTAGCCGTGCGTAACACCTCGTACACATTTTAATCAACGAGTAATTTTTGATGTTTTATAAGAATAAATTGAACAAAAAGTTTAATTCGTTTTATTCACGAGTGAACAAATAAATACGTTAATGCCAGTTCCTTTAGTTCAATTAATATTATTTTTATTAATTATTATTACTATTATATTATTATTGTTGTTATTATTACTGTATAATTATGACGCATTGAGTTCGAGAAAGAAAATTCATATTCTGAACCTGGAAAAAAAATTCACTTAGTTACTTTTCCATTTTTCCACGCATAGGTGCAAATCAAACAAAAACCTCTCCAACCGAAGTTAACGAACGATTTTTAATCCATGTGCCTGCTGAGACGCCATTGTCTATGGAATTTGTAATGTCCAATGTCTATTGAAACAATCTTCTAAGTATTGTATCTAATTAGTATCTAGTATTTATCAGGTATCTTGATGTATCTTACTCTACAAACATGTATCGCGTATATAATGAAATATGTCTATCTTGAAAAATATTATTATTATTAAATATAAAATATAAATATAAAAAATATTATTATATATCATGTGTATAATGAACGTGTATCTTGATATATCTCAACATATATCAAGTGAATACTAATATTCCCTCATCTATGTCATCATCAGCAGACGTCATCTCCATTAGAAACTCCATAATGACGTTCATTAACACAACTACCTCTAAATTTCATTTTAAAATGTTATCAATTTTGCATTATCTCGTGTAGTTTAACTAAACCAGTTTTCAAAAAAACGTAAAATAAAAAAAATCTCTTAAAAAACAACAACGAAAAAATGGATTAGGCTTCGGATTTCCAGAAATATCTGACGGCAGGTAACTCCTTCGTCCTGATGAAAATGTCGCTACCACGGTTGGCGAATGCCGCCATTAAAGCGGCTGCAAAGACGAGGATCAGTGCTAGGAAGGCTGCTAGGCTGAAGTTGTAAGAAATCCTCTTGAGCCTCTCAGACTCGTTCAAGTTGTTTCGTTTGTTGTACGCCATCACTATTTCGTGGTGTTTATTAGTATTATTAACCATTATTATTTTATTTATTACTTATTTATTATCGTACCACTGATATTGTTAATAGAAAATTTTTATATAGTGAACCTAAATACTAATTGAATTAAATCAGCAGATGCACAGAATTTGAAGCTGAATTTAACGCCGAAAAAAACCGTTATAATTCTCAATTTAATTCTGACACAAATTTACACAAAAGAAACTGTTGAAATACGAAATAACATCGACTCGAAACTGGAAAAAACTACCCAACCCGCCAAAATCAGCGCTGGGATGCCTAGTGGCGGGAAAAATAGAGAGGCCAGCACACCGATTCCAATTGGGATTGAATAATTTTGGCGCTCTTTGCTGTAGTATTCGTTAGGTGGCACAACTGCCGCTACAGGCATCGGAAGGGCTCTCTGCTCTTCCGTATCCGAGTACATGGCTCCTTGATCCAGATGACGGTGTTGCTTTTATTTAAATTTAAATAGATTTTTCCGCTCTTTTTAAAGTTAGGTATTATTTTAACGTGTGATTTTCTTTTAGTACTTCTTTATACTTATAAGACTTACCTAACACTAGTACTTGAACTAATACTAAGTCGTAGTACTAATTCAACAAAACAGTATCGAACCAAGTAACGTAATCAGTTTAGTATACAACTCTTTAGTTTACCTTTACTACTAATACAATGCAGAACATTCGATATGTTAATGAATAGTTATGTAAAGTTATGTTCTACGTGCCATAGGAACAATATTTATAATTAATTAAATTTAACTATAGGTACTCCAGACTGTACTCTTATATAACTGTATATGTGTTTTGTTTAATTAATTAATTAATTAAAATATGATTAATAGTGCTTCGAAAGTGTTGTAATGAACTTGGAAATCCCATTTATAAATGTTTCAAACGACATCTGCAATAAATCAGCAGCACAAATTCAACATTTACATTGAAAAATAATTCCAGAAATAATATTTTTCGTTATAATATTTGATGAAAATTTACTGAAAACAACAACACACATGAACTGTTAATTAAAAACATTGTACACCTGAATTGCAGGTGTTTAAAGAGATGTGCGTGTTGGGCGTTATCGGTTCAGTTCTGTATCATAACCAATTGTGATCATTTGATTTCGATTCACCATCTGAAAGACAACAAATTTTAATATTTTAATTACACCCAACGGTAAAAAAAAAGTTATAATACGTTTATATTTCTTAAAACACTATAAACTCCATTTAGTTACTATTGAAAAATCAGATATTTTGCCACAGAATAAGTATAAAGAAGAACTATGAGAAAGAATACCCCGATAGGGTTTTAAGTTGTAACTGCATTACATTGATAACGTTACTGCAAGTTAAGCTTTGTCACGAACCAGCATAAAATTAAACAAAATTTATTCGAATTTGTTAGCCCCATTTTACCCAAAATGATTCTTAGCAATTTTAGGAGTTTTAGTATGTGTTTCATTTTCAATTCTAAAACAAATTTTCCGAGCAAAAATGTTCATTATTGCTTTTAATGTACTGTCTATTTTTTAATTTCAAGTTTTTCGTAAATTTTAAGTTTGAATGTTATCGAGACACCTCCTGTTTTACATCGATTCTTTCATCTTTTAGTAATTTTCAAGTAGAGGCCATTCTCCGTTTTTATGGTCAGTGACATTTTTTTCTTCACAACGCGCTCCGGGTCCAAACTAACTGAAAATCTGGAAAAATGGAAATAAAATAAAAAATTGGAATTCAAATAACATTTATTTTCTAAACTAACTGAGCAATTAATAAATAAGATCAGATTGTGAACAAACATCTTACTTGTGCAAAACTTTGCATAGGATTATCTTCATCTCATTCATAGCAAAATGCTGCCCAATGCAGTTTCTGTGAAAAATTTGAATCTAAAATTAATAAATTACCAAATTTTTATTTCCAAAATTTACCTGGGACCAGCTGAAAATGGAACGAAAGCGAAAGGTTCAACTTTTTTAAAATTTTCTGGAAGGAATCTTTCCGGATCAAACTTCTGATGCGATGAAATATGTTGCATTATAAAATAAATGAATTTAATTGGAAATAATTAAAGGTTAAACATTTTTCAATATCAACCACTAAACAATTCATCGAAAATGCGTTTTATAAATTGTAATTAACAAATAAACGTTTGAATGAAATCTTCACCATAGAAAAATTGTTCATTAAACAATTCTCCATCACATTCACAGCTTCGACATTCTGTAACACATACAACCACAAATTCATAATTTTCATAATTTTTTTTTTTGATAAATTTTATCTGACTTCTGACCCTTACCGCGTGGTCAGGCCAGACAGTTTTATTATGGTGCAGGCTGTAGATCATGGGGCAAACGGTCATCCCGATTGGACACTCCTTCCCATCGATGACCAGGGGCTTCGTCAGTTCCCTCTCAATTAAGGGCACCGTGGTGTGGTAGCGTAGGGATTCCTTGATGCAGCAAGTTAGGTATTGAAGTCTCTTAAGGTCTTCGCTGGATTATGTATTTAAGTTTTTTTTTAAAATTCTTTCTTTAATAATTTTCAGAGTAACTTTTAAATATATGTGAATATCAATGAATCACACACACTGTATATAAAATAAACTGGAATTTCTTGGTATTTGAATTCAGTTACTGCAAAATCAAAAGCAGGCACTTTGACCGTTAAAATTGAAACGCACTGAAAAACGTCATTGGAATTTTTGTCCAAGAACATCTCATCTATCTCCTCTTGGCACTGCTTTTGAAATTGTGGATATAAGGCCAGAGTGTACAAGACCCAGGAAACCGATGATGATGTCGTGTCGTGGCCTTAGGTCGGGTGTATTTTTTCAAAAAAATATTTTCATTATTTTCACATCAAAAATTCATCTTCCGCTGAATTTGGTATTATTTAATTTTGAGAAGGAAAATGAAATGAAACTGAAATGTGGATGCAATTGTGATCTAGATGTAATTTAATGTAACCTTGATGTAATATAATGTAATTTAATGTAACCTTGATGTAATTTAATGTAACCTTGATGCAATTTAATGTAATTATGTGTAATTCAGAGATAAGATTATTCGTCGGCTAACCTGCAAACATCAGAGTATTGACTTCTGCTCTGATCTCTTCGTGTGACAGACCATTGCCATCTTCGTCGCGAGCTTGCAGTAGCACGTTCAAGAAATCATTCAGATTCGTACAGCATTCGTCTTTATTTTCAAGACCTATCTTATATCATAATGTAGAAGTGTTTTCTTGTTTGTAATACAGTCTCTTTTATAAGATTTAAAATATTTCTTGAGAAATTAATAAAAAAAAGTATAATAATTTTCCAACTTACTTTACGTTTCTCGATCAGGTTATCAGATATGCCGTTGACGTATTTGCAGTACCCTTTAAATTTTCGCGAGTCGGCTGTCAGGTTGTAAAAAAAATCGAAGTGCTGCCATGGGCTCCTGAATTTATTTGTTAATTAAAAATTTGAGTCTCCTTTAATTTTATAATGTTGTATGAGGAATAGTAATTTTTTAAAAACGTTTACTCTGTGGTGAATTTTTTAATGAATTGTAAAGAATTAAGACTCCTACAATGATCGTTTCGTCCAAAGGTCTGTAAGATTTTCAACCGCCGCCATGTATGGATGGCATTCACTGAGTAATAAAATAGTTTCCAGGTTCAAAAATAATTATTTAATTGATTAAAATCAATTAATTAATGTTAAGATTACCCTATTTCTTGGATGTTATTTTCGTAGGAGAAAGCGCACCTAAGAATGATGTCCAATGTTAATGAAGAAAGATTGCTCATTATTTCAATGCTCTCACTTGATTCAGCATACTTTGTTAGTTTTTTCTGCGTTGTTTTTAATGGTTTATGTCTATCAAATATTTATTTTTATTTCAAATTGTTTAAAATTTTTTGAGAATTAACGTTAAAAGAAGTTTTTTTTTAATTTTTGTTAATAACTAAATTCTCTCACCAAGAAGACATCAACACATTGATTTTTAACTGTAACAAATTTGTGGAGGTTGTCGAAATGGAAGACAGGCGTCAACAACCTTCTCGTCCTCGACCATTTCTCGCCAGAATTCATCAGCAGCCCGTTCCCTACCCAGTCAAATCCATATTTGTATAATCCCATCGTCATTGGTTTCGGCTCTGAGATAGCGTTTTTCAGTTTTTACAATTGATTTCAACAATTTTTCATTTCAACAAAGCTGATCAATATTATTCACGAAACAACTTTACGTTTAGGTACCTGCCGTTTTTAAGATTTCTTTGACGGTGTCTGGGTGGGTGACTTGAACGGTCGGTTTGAACCAGTTCCAAGCCCAAAATGTATGACATCTTGGATACTTGTCCACCATCTGCTCCCAATATTTTATCCCTGCTTCGTTTGGACCCGGAAACTATCCGGAGTAAAAATTTAGGAAACATTGACGCTACATAAGAAGATTAAATTTCATAAGGTCTAAGCGATGTTCTCAAAAAAATTAAAAAATAATTGATTAATTTTATTTTAAAAATGAATTTTATTCATATATATTGGTAATTTAATAATTTAACCAGAAGTAGGTGGCCCCAGAAAAAATGTTTTTCCTCCATCGGGAACATGTTGGCTGCCATGCCTATGGTTCTGTGATTTTTTAGACACCTCACAATTTTGTAGATGTAATAGGCCAGGATGGCTGTCGACAAAACAACAATGTAATTAATTACCGATGAGATTATCTCCATGTTAGCATTCGAAGCCCTCAAGATAAGTTACTGGTGAACGTTTTTTCAATTTTTTTTGGTAGGTGTTTGGATTGTAAGTTAGTCCTCCCTGATACGATTTGTTAGATTATTCTATTTTCAACGATGATTGCTAAAAAACTAACGCCAAATATATGTTATAAAGCCATAGCACGTATTAAAACAGACGCATGACACGTTTAACCTGGCATTACTTAGTGAAGCAAACGTTTAAAAATTGCCATTGGACTTTGTGTAGATCTGTTCTTAATATTTTCTCAACCAAACAACATTTTTATGATCTTATTTGAAGCATATTTTTCAACTATGCGCAGTCGTGTTCCACAAAAAAAAACCCTTTTAATGTTACTTCATGCGTTTTGTGTTCATGCACATGTGGGCATAGACTTTTATCTGTTTATAAAAGTATGAAGTTATTAGATTCTAAAACGAGTATTTCTAGCTATAGTAGTAACAAGTAAAATTATAGTAGTGCTGATAGAATACTATTTTTACTAACTATTAACTAGTATTAATCGGAAAATCTGCTGCTGAATACTTTTTTCACATCGTACAATGTTTCAGGTATGTTGCTGTATGTGAGAATAGAAAAATGTCAGAAAAACGTCAAAATAGGATATAGTTTTGATTTTTATTAGATAGTAGTGACAAGTCCTTTAGGTATTTCGAAATCTGTAAGGTTCTGGTTGCAACGTATAAAAACTTTGTACATGCACAAATCAATCATGTGTTATATATTTTTGTAACATAAATGTGTCGAATGATGCGGTCGTAAAAAGTATTGATGTAGAATTAACTTCATACAAAATCGTAATTAACTGGAAATTTAAATATTTTTTAGTTTGTCTAAAGGAGATGAAAAAATTTTCCGATCACAAATATTATGTTTGGCAACGTTTTCTTCATCTTTTTGTAACTTTTAGGAACATTCCGTCTTCCGTTTTCAGCACCATTCCCAACTCTTTTTTTACAACACGTTCCGGATCTAAGCTTATTGTGAATCTGAAGATTTGGCGCATATTTTAATTTCAATTTAATTTTTGAACTACAGAAAGCAAAAAAAATCGTTACTTGTGTAAAATTTTGGCGAGAATAATCTTCATTTCATTCATTGCAAAGTGCTGCCCGATACAATTTCTAAAAATTAATAATAATAATTTTTTAAATCAAAAAATTTTTCTGCCGAAATAATTTTTTTTCTACGTTACCTTGGGCCCGCTGAAAATGGAACAAAAGCAAATGGGTCCATTTTTATGAAATTTTCAGGAAAGAATCTTTCAGGATCGAATCTCTACAGTTAAAAATTAGCAAATGTGTACCCATCATAAAATAATAATGCTGTTACAATCACAACTAATTAATCCCTCTTTTTTTATCTCTCTCTCTTTCTCTCTCTCTCTCTCTCTCTTTCTGTTTGTCTCTCTCTTTTTCTCATAAATTCATTCAAGACGTGTTAATCAAAATATTTAAGATCTAAAAATGGCTCTTGTCAGCTGCTAACCGTATGATCCGTCCATATAGTTTCATTATGATGTAACTGTTGTAACATTGGAGAGATGACCGTTCCGGGTGGGCACATACGACCGTCGATAAGCATCGGCTTGGTCAGTTCTCTTTCAATGGAAAAGACTGTGGTATTCAAACGGAGGGATTCTTTTATGCAACAAGTTAAGTAGGAAAGTTTTTTCAGGTCATCACTGAATAAATTTTAAATAAATTTATAAATAAATCAAATATATATACAAATAAAATTTAATAATTTATTTTGCGAATATGTTTTTTGCTTAAATATTAATAGTTTTAACCAGAAATCATAACTCTATCTTATATTATTCTCATATTATTATCTTACATAGGAAATTTCTTAATTATTACTCTTCTTATATGCAGTTTTAGTAATGTTTTCCCTACCAAACAGAAACCAATTTATTTTTTACTGATTCAACAAAACATAAAAAAGTAAAACAATTATCTCAATTATACTGAGTTATGTCATCATCTGAGGTTATTTTTCTTGAAAAAATCTCATCAACTTCCTCTTGGCAGAGTTTTAGGCAGTGAGGATTTTGTGCAAGACTGTATAAGACCCAACCTGATGATGTGGCTGTTGTTTCATGCCCTTACATGTTCACATTTATTTTTAATTTTATTTTATTATAATTAAAATTTAATAAAATTTTGTAATATTTCCACCATCATCATAAGATCTCGTTGATATTCACGATATGATTTGTACTCTGACAATATGTGCAAGTTGCACTCAAGTATTAAGTAAAGTTATAAAAAAAAATAAGCTATAAAAATCTGCGTTACTATGAATGAAAAAATTTTAAGTTTCAATTAACCAGTACAAGTTTTATTAGCGAGATGTTAATGAGTTATTGTCAAATTTTGTAGGAATTAACGAAATTTTTATTAGCACAAACCAGCAAAGAGCAGTGTGTTAACTTCAGCTCTGATCTCATGATCAGTCAAACCGTTTCCATCTTCATCACGAGCCGTCAATAGAACGTTCAAAAAATCATTTTTCTTAGGGGAGTTTTCACCCGAGCGTTCAAGTTCATTCTAAGTTTATTTTATTTTATTTTTTTAGATGAAATTAATTTTTTGTAAAATAATCACGAGACGTACTTTTCGTTTTTTGATTAGTTCGCCTGAAATCTCGTGAACGTATTTGCAGCTTTTTTTAAACTCTCTGTAATCAGATGAAAATTTGTATATGAAATCAAAATGCTGCCACGGCTTGCTGGAAAGAGTTTATTGAAAATATTTTAAAAATTAGCAATGCCATTTACCAATATTATCTTATTATTATTTGTAGTAGTAGTAGTAGCAGCAATAGTTGTAGTAATATGGTAGAAGGAGTAGCAATAAAGTAGTATTAGTACTGCTAGTAGTAGTAGCATTAGTAGTAATAGTTGTAGAAGAAGTAGCAGCAGTAGTAGTATTAGTAGTAGTAGTATAGTAATAGCAGCAGTAGTAGTTGTAGTAGTAGTAAGTAGTAGTAGTAGTAGTAGTAGTAGTAGTAGTAGTAGTAGTAGTAGTTGTTGTTGTTGTTGTTGTTGTTGTAGTTGTAGTAGTTGTAAGCAGTAGTAGTAGTAGTAGTAGTAGTAGTAGTAAGCAGCAGTAGTAGTAGTAGTAGTAGTAGTAGTAGTAGTAGTAGTAGTAAATATAACAGCAAAAACTTAATAATACGTACAACGATCTTTGCACCAGCAGAGTATCTAACTCATGGCAAGCTTTCATGTAAGGATGGTTTTCGCTGTGATAATATTTCAATAGATATTGTAAATAAGTAATCTGAGTAATTAATTAATTAGAGCAATTAAATATATAAATATACTTTTTAATATCTCTATTGTGGGTTGGTTTAATAAATTTTATTTGTCTGAAAAGGAACAGTTACACATACACAAACACATACACAAACACATACACATTAAAGGATAGCGATAGTCTCTAGAAATTACACATACCATGCACTCTGTGTGTGTTTCTATTTGATAGTGGACGTGATGTTATTTGTTGGTTTAAATTTCTGATTTATTTCGTGGTATATCGACCATACAAGTAAACTTAAACGATCATTTTTTAAAAATCATATGCATAAGCATAGTAATAGAGAGAGAGAGAGAAAGAGAGAGAGAGAGATTTGAATAAATAAAAAGAGATTAAGAGAAAGAGAGAGAAAGAAAAGAAAGAAAGACAGAACCGGAGGGGAGGAAGAGGTTGTACTGCACACGCACCCAACTTCCTGGATGTTGTTCTCGCAAGAGAAGGCACACCTGAGTATGATGTCAACAGTCAAACTTGATAGATGGCTCATTATTTCAATGCTTTCTCCTCCTTCTGCATACCTTGATAACTTCTCCTGTTTATATGAATTACTCGAAATTAAAAGAAAATATATTAATAAATGAATTAAGTAACGTAATCTATATTTAATTAATGATAAAATTTTAAAAAAATGTAGTATACTAAAAAATACTAGAAATACTAATACTAAAAAAATACTAAATATAAATACTAAAAAAACCATAACCAGGAAAACATCAACGCATTGATTTTTAACTTTCAAATATTTGTGCAAGTTGTTAAAATGAAAGACTGGCGTTAAAAGTTTTCTATTTCTAAGCCATCTAGCGCCAGAGCCCAGTAGCAACCCGTCGCCTATCCATTCTATCGCGTATTTGTACGTGCCCATTGTCAGAGATTTCGGCTCTTGAAAGTATTTCGAAAACATTCAAAAATAAATTAATTTTGAATTTAAAATCATTAATAATTTGTAATTTAAATATATATTTATTATTTTTTTTACACGAAACCTGCGGTTTTCAAAATTTCTTTTACAGTATCGGCATGGGTAACTTGAACAGACGGTTTGAACCAGTTTATAGCCCAAAATCCGTACGATCTTGGATACTTATCAACGAGGTACTGTAAATAATTCAGATAATCTTCACCGGCTTTAGGTAACTATGGAAAAAAATCATCATTATTGTTTGTATGAAACAATGGAACACACAAATAATCCCTCTCTCTTTCTCTTCCTCTCTCCCTCATTACTTGCAAACAAACACAAATACACACACTACATAAATACATACAAAGAGAGGAGAGAGAAAGAAAGAGAGAGGACAAAGACAACTTTTTCTATTCATTGCACTTAAACTATATAACAATTATACTATAATAGCCATAAAACTATACTCTATTTTTTATCTTTTTATACATTTTATGGCATTTAATAATTTATTATTTAATAAATAAATGAATTAACTGATTAAATTAATTAATTTACTTCGTGTAAATGACCCCAAAACCAATGTTTGTCGTCCATTGGATACTTATTAACAGCCTTTCCAACGGTTATAATTTTGTTGAAAAATTTAAAGATTTGGAAGGTGAGATACAGTATCAGCGGAGATGATAGAATGATGATATTTGTTAGAATCAATGATAGAGTATCCATTTTTTTTTTCAAAAAAAATGAGTTGTTGAGTTTTTATCCAATACAAATTAAAATTAAAACTAGCAAATTAAAACTAGGTCTAATTAGGTCTATTTTAATTTAAATATTCACTGTTTTTTATTTTTTAAAATGATTTTGAAGCAGTTTTTAAACCGATCGAATTTGAGAAAAATAATTTTGTCGTTGCTGTATATATCTTAAACACAAATTGACAACAACACGTCCAGTTTGCTTGCTACTTTATAAATGGATAGTATTTAATTCATCTATAAATTGCACGATGTTGTTTCATAAGCCTAACAGCACCTATTACAATATAGAAGATTGTTAGCTTAATTTGAAGATACAATTGAAGTTAATAGAAAAATTCGAACTTTGAAACTCTCATCTGCTGATATTATAAAAAATGGCATATGATATATTGAAAACGATATATTTGCTTTTTTATACATGCATACATTTATATATAAAATTGAACAAAAATAAAATCGTCTAGATTTATGTATTAATACATTTAAAAAAAACATTTTCCCTAACAATACGTATTTGGTCAAGTTGTAGCTAAGAGCATTCTTCCATTAAAAAACTAAAAACCGTTTGTGACGATTTGTTTATTAGTACAATCAATCATTTTTGGAAAAAAAATTTCATATTCAGAAAATTCTTCAAGCGAACACAACAAAATAAAAAATCGGTCCCATCAATTACGTAATAAAACTCGTTCCAGTTAATTTTGTTATCCTAAATTCAATCGTATGCTCGAACACTTTTATCTCCTAGATACTTTCAAATACAAACCATTCTCGGTTGTCATCACCAAGCCGAGTTTTCGTCTAACAACATGGTCAGGATCTAGAGTGACTGTGTACCTAGCGACAGAATATTAAAACAAATTTTTTTTCGAATCACAGTTTGATTGTATAATTCTTACTTCTGAAGAACTTTTGATAGGATAACTCTCATCTCGTTCATTGCAAAGTGCTGTCCAATACAGTTCCTGTAGAATGCGTAATGTCAAGAAATAATTTAACAATAATATAATATTTATAATTAATTGGGGAAAAATAGTTTGTTGAATCAAACAGAAAAAAATAATCTTCCATAATGTCCACCTTGGTCCAGCTGAAAATGGAACAAACGCGAACGGATCCATTCTTTCTATATTGTCAGGAAAAAATCTCTCCGGATCAAATTTCTGCCAAGAAAAATTCAAATTTTTATTTTTAAGAAATATTTCTTAATTAATAACTTCAACATTCAATCAACACTTCCTAACGGCATAATCACTCCAGACCGCCTTATTGTGATGTAGATGGTAGAGCATTGGACAAAGTACAGTACCAGCTGGGCATTCCTTCCCATCGATGACCAGTGGTTTGGTCAGCTCTCTCTCAATAGCGGGCACTGTGGTGTTCAGACGTAAGGATTCTTTGATGCAGCAGGTTAGGTAGAACAACTTTTGAAAATCTTCGCTAGATCGGGGATAATTTTTTTTAATTATACTGTTTTGAACTCTTCATTTAACTAGCATTATTACTTGAAACATGAAAAAGTAAATGTTATACAAAATTTTATATTCATATCTACAAGGTGATCGGTATTAAAGCTATGAAAGTTTATTTAAACATCTAAAAAAGATTCAAATTTTAAGATCTAGATCCTAAAAAAAAGAATCTCATTTATTGAATACAAATTTATGTCGTTAGTAGTCTTTCCAGCAAACATCTCATCAATTTCTTCTTGACATTGTTTCTGAATGTGAGGATTTTGTGCAAGACTGTACAACACCCATGTCGTAGAAATCGAGGTTGTGTCATGCCCTAAATAAATGTTTATAGCTGGTATAATAAGTGGAGGCAAAAAATAAAATAAAAGCTATATCAAATTTTCAAACAATTTCAATTTTATGCAAGTATTATATAACAATTAGGTTCAATTTCTCACGAAGTTGACATTGTAAACGTTAAAATTTTCAGTAAAATAGTGTTACACATGCAAAAGTTTCTAAATTTAAAGAATCATTGTTCAAGTAAAACATACCCGCAAAGAGTATGGTGTTCACTTCGACTCTCATCTCATCATCAGACAACCCATTTCCATCTTCGTCGCGTGCTTTCAACAGTAGGTCTAAGATATCATTCTTAATAGTCATTTTATCTGCTACTGATGTTTTGTATTCTTCCTGTATTCAAATAAATTACTCTTAGGACTTGCACTTATTATTATTATTAAATCACTTTTAAAAATATTTTCAAATAATTTTCTAAATTGCTCTTAAATTATTGCTAGAATTATTCTAAAATTATCCCTGTCAACAAGTGTTAATGGTTAACTAATTGGATAAGTAGACAAATGCCTACCTTCCGTTCTTTAATGAGTCCATCTGAAATGTCGTGAATGTATTTGCAGAGTTTCGTGAATTTTTTAGAATCCGCTGAGAGTTTGTATATGAAGTCAAAATGTTGCCAAGGTTTCCTAGAAATATAGGTTAGTTTAGTTTCAATTATAACAATTCAATGCTCACGGCGTACATAGGTATCAATGGCACAATAACATTCGGAGATCTCTTTGCAACCAAATCCGATCAGATCAACTCAAGTTCCGACAACTTTAGCTGCTAAACTATCTCGTCACCCAATCACGTATTAGTAACAATATTTGATACTTTATTCAAGAAATCTTAAAAAAAGTATTGAGTAAACATACAATGTTCTTTTCATCCAAAGATCACCAAGTTCGCGGACTGTTTTCATGTAGGGATGGTTTTCTCTGGGATTAATTTGTAATAAAAATTGGCAGCTAATAATTTACGTTTACATACTCTTCATGTTTTTCATTAATTTATTTAACAAATTTAACTAAGAAATTAATGTACAACTCTCAATTATTTAGCCACATAAATAATCAGGATGGTTATTAAAACTGATGCAGTCTGAATCCACTTGATAGATTTTCATGAAACGAGGCTGTAGATACTACGAAAATTACTTTAAACTTTTACGAACCCAACTTCCTGAATATCATTATCGTAAGAAAATGCACATCTAAGGATAATATCCATAGTCAGAGCAGATAAATTTCTCGTTATTTCAACACTTTCTCCTGTCCCATCGTACTTGGACAATTTTTTCTGGATGAAATGCATTTTTTGAAACAGTGCAATTTGAGAGTTGTAAAAGACAGTTTAATGTTTCCGTTCTAATGACAAACCTACCATGAAAGTATCGACGCAGCTATTTTTAACTCTGAGGAATTTGTGTAAATTATCAAAATGAAAGATTGGCGTCAGTAGTTTGCGGCTTCTAGACCATTTTTCTCCAGAACTTAGCAACAAACCTTCGCCAATCCACTCCTTACCATACTTGTACACACCCATCGTCATCGATTTGGGCTCTTGGTTGAAATAAATAACTTTAGAAGTGAATTAAAATTGAAACTGTTAAAACTTAGGTTTCACTCTCTTACCAGCAGTTTTCAAAATACTCCTAATAGTTTCCGGGTGATAAACTTGAATGGATGTCTTGAACCAATTCAGAGCCCAAAAATTGTAACATCTTGGATATTTATCGATCATGTAGTGCCAAAATTTTATTCCATCTTCATTCAGTCCAGGAAACTGTTCGATTGCAAAATAATTTTATTTTTGAAAAACTTTGCAAAAAATTTTATAAAAAAATTTATGAAACCGCTCACTAAGATGGCCATATGCTGATCAAACGTTGACCATAAAAAATGAAAAATATTGACCATGTGATATTATTAAATATGATATTAATTCGTAGAAAAATAGACACACACACAACAACAAAAATTAGTTATTACACACTAGCACATCTAAATCTCAGTCATTACCATTTATCTGTAAAACATAAAAATTTTCTGAAAGATGATAAAAACTATCTAGAAGATCATCGAAATTCAAAACTATCTAAACAAGACAAAACTGAAGCCCCTACTTGTTTAATATGTCCCCAAAACCAATGCTTTTCTTCCATTGGGAAGGTGTCCGCCACTTTTCCAATCACTCTTATCTTCTTGAAAAATTGGAAAACTTTGTAGATGCCGTAGCCTGCAATCAGTGTTGAAAGGAAAAAGATGTAGTAAATTATCGACGATGCAACATCCATTTTTGTGCTTCTTTCGATGTACTAGCAGCAGTAGTAGTAGTAACAACAGTAGCTGCCGTAGTAGTAGTAGAAGTAGTAGTAATTGTAATTGGATGGTTTATCTAATTTTAATTGCCGATATTTAAAAAAAATTCTTTTGAGACATTCTCATAGATGTTATTTTACAGTTTGAAATTGTATGTACTTTAACCTATAATCATGAAAAAATCTACAGACCACCATTTTAAACCCAGACATTTGAAATGTTCACACACATACAAACGAATACATACGCTGCGTTCTTAAAGTTAAACGAGCAAGCAACTTTGTAATTGCTCAATTAATAAATACTTAATAAAGTTTTCGTCCAGTGTTTAAATTAATTTGAACAACTCACACAAAAACACACATAAACACACACACACACGCACATACATACATACATACATACATACATTCATACATACATACATACATACATACATACATACATACATACATACATACATACATACATACATACATACATACATACACAATTATTTTTTGATAACATTGCTACTAAAATAGTTGAAAAATCTGGTGATCCCAATGATAAAATTTATATAAAGCAAAATATATCGTTGTTGTTGCAAAG